AAGTACTATCGTGCGCCAGTTTTAGTTGTTGTCTCATGACTGCTCCTAACCTCAGTATTGCTTATCCGGTTTCCAAACCAAACTTGTGCAAGGCAGCGTAGACAGTGGTGATCGAACGCCGACAATCTATCTTTAACTTGTGTTCGTAACGATCAAGTCTCTGGGCAGTAAATCAGAGCTGGCCAAGCTGTCGCAACATACACTGGATCATTCAGACAGCCGGATGTCGAGGCGGCCTCACAGATTTCTCAAGTTGGTAAAATGCCAGTCCAGTGTTCTACATGCGTGCCGAAACTTTATTCGTTATGCATCAGTCGGGTGAGATATAGCTGCCCAATTAGCGAAATCTGTGCATTTCCTTTATTACTTCCCCAGCTAGAGTGAAGTTGAGAACTGGACCAACCCAGTCCTGTGGCCGCATTTTACACCCTGAAAGTGCAACGGAAAAGAATGATGTCCAGATGACCACTGAAATTCATTAACAGATATTACACAGGAATAAGAGCACCGATTTCATTTCACAGCTATATAGACGAAATTCATGATCAGGGTGATTAACAGCCCTTGTTCAGACTTAGGTCTACAGTGTGCGGCTAATGCCCACGCACATGCACTTGTATTGTATTGTTTTGTATTGTATTGTATTCAAGCTTTAGCGAGTTATATATACAAGATTTCAGCCAAAAAATAGACCACCGTTACAATTCTAGTAAAAACAGGGGAAAAAGTGGGATGTGAAAACGTACAAAGGTATGAGTTAATTACCAAATGCATTAGAAAGCTCAGAGCGAACACTTTCCTTGTCGGTCAGTATCCGGGCAAGATAGGGTACCAAAGAGTTTCTGTATGCGGATATGCGAGACGGGATAAGTTTGTACTTGGAAAGGGTGCAGGGGTGGGATTTGCATGCACACAAGTCAGTGTGTAGAGGATGGGTGCAATCAGATAGGATATGGTCAGCAAACGTCAAGCACGCATCAATATGGGCATTACACATATTGCCAATCAGAACAGATAACAGAACTTGGGAGACACGGCTGATAACTGAGAGGCCACGCCTCAACAACTTGAGATCAGCCTTCAACAAACCAGAGGAAATTACAGATCAATACAGGGGTATAGGGAGAACACATTGTTGAACGAAGGCGTTTATTAGCGACGAGTCAGAACAGACGTAGGGCAGTTTTCTTTCAAGTGTGACACCTAAGTACTTCACATGGCTAACCCTGCTCATCGGCTTTCCATGGATCTGGACATTGTCGGAGGGAGATGGGGTACGGTTTAGAGTAAAAATACATTCAAGGCATTTTTCAGGATTAAGATTAAAACCGGAAGAAGTGGAATATGAAACGAGGTGGGATAGGTTTGTGTTATATTCAACCAGTTCTTATTGGTTATATATGGAAACAGAAATGGCGATATCATCAGCGTACTTAAAATGTCGAACAGGGGGAGTAACGGGTAAGTCACTAATATAAGTCGAAAAAAGATAAGGTGATAGGACAGCACCTTGAT